AGAGGCACATCCACTCCTCCATTATGATTCCCTCCCAGGTGCCCCACCTGTTCCTGCTGATCCAAATGACCCTGCTGTGTCATTCATGCATGACCCAGTAAGGTTGGGAACCTCTAGAGTTCAAACCTTGCCACCCAACTTCAGGGCAACTCCAGGTGGGCTTGGTGAACCTTCTGGTTTTGGTCCTGTGGAAGACTCTGCACCTACCTTGTTGTCTGGAACATCTCACCTGAGGCCTGATTTTGGCTTTTCTCCAGCTCGGCTTGAAACGGGTCCACTTGGTCATGAAGGGAATCTTGATTATAGTAACTCAGAAAGGGGAACCCATGGGCTGGGCTCTACAACTTCCTTCCAGTCTGGTGCGTTGAGTAAGCATGTAGCCACCTATGAGCATGGAAATTCAGAGAGGGAAACGGAAGATTATTTTCCACCAGTGTTACATGCCTATCCTTTTGCTTTACCTGGAACAGTTTCGCAATACTACCTCAGACCTGCACTACCTGTTGACTGGTTAGCACCTTTATGGTACGGTGTCCACTAAGATACATCTGCATTGCTCAAACCCAGGTTCCCAGTGGTCACAAGACTGTAAAAGTACTTTTGGTTCTTCAAATAATTGAAGTGTTCTAGGATCTCTGTAATTCAATTCCCAGTTTCTGTAAATTTTGGCATAGTCATGTTTGCCTGGCATGAAACAGAAGAAATAAAATACTGCATGAACACTTGACTGTGATGGTTTGAGATCAAAACACTGTATAGATATACTATTTATGCGTGTTTCTAAGAATATGTACTAATATGTATTACTTACCTTTTTTTCCTTTCTGGGATTCTTGCTATTTTTGAGGTTCTGAATAATGAGGCATAAAACCCAAAATGCATATCTTAGTTTGCACTGACCAGTCAATACACAAACTCATGATGGAAAGCTCCCCTAGTAAATGAAGTAGCTAGCTCAGCTATTAGATATGCTCTTTAGCGCATGTCATCTACATAGCTACAGGTATTAAACTCAAACAGCTGGAAGCAACACAACTTCAGCTCCTCTATTTATCAGATCAGGATTAGGCTATTCGATGAAGCCTAACTTGTATCTGCAGTACTTGAGCAGATAAATTGCCTTTAGGGGGCCACAAAGCTTCACCTTGTTTGGACAGATTTGGGTAGCAGGAGGAGTAGAGTAGTGTCACGTGCCAGAAACATGAAAGTTGGCAAGCGTTGTCTCAGTCTTTGTTGAAACTAGTACAGCTTACGGTTCTCATCTCTCAGCTGCCCTTTTATAGATTACCTATAGCACTAGCCTAGCTGATAAACTAGCTGCATGGACTCGGAGGATAGTATGAAGTGAAAGATTTTATTGGCCTGAAAAAGAATAAGTAGCCACTGTTGTCTTGAGCCTTTTTCTGAAGAGGCAAAACTTTCCTTTTTAATTGAAAAAAACATTTTCTGATCTGATATTTGAATAGTAACAGAAGCAGCTTTCAAGTAACATCTCTGAAAACATTAAAAAAGATAATGGTGGATATGAGTAAAGTTTTTGAAAGGTACAAGTTAATTGTGAATGACTTTAACTACGTCCAAGGTGAACTTGTATAGTTATGTTACAGTAAATGTCAGAAAAGTAAAAGTAGCTCCACTTTTCAGTTTTGAAAAATGGCTTTTTTGGAGTTGAAGTCTGGTTCTTGTTTAATTCACTGAAGAAATAGGGGTAACTTAAATTATTGGTTAGTTGCTTTCAATTTCAGAACTCATTTTAGAAATTAAGGTTAGATATTTGTTTAGGACACTCTTTATCACAACTACTTTTATGATCCGTGATCAGCATAAGAACAGAGAAACTGGGTATAAAAGCAGCTCAGTCTGCTAAAACCTGCTTTGTGGGATATGCTTGAATCATACTTTTAACCACCATTCTGCCATATGAAGAGGTTTTGACAGTGGCACTGAAACGATGAGACTGCTCTTTGGCACAACTGAAAAAATTGTGCATTACTTTTTTTTCCTTTTCAGTTGGACAAGCTCAGTGTTGCTGCTGCCAGAACATCTGTGACTATGCTGGGTTAAGTTAAATCCCCACAAGAGGGTGATAATGCTCCTTGCAGAATTATAATTGCATCCAAAAGCAATTTTAAAAAAAAGAGAAATGTTTGTGTGGTGATATTAAACATCTATCAGTGAAACAGCTCACTGAGGAGAAGAAAAAACTGGATCCACGCCCCACCTAGAAGGGTGGACAAGATAAATGAGAAATGTAGGTGTCCTGTCCATGAAGGGACTGGCTCAAAGCCCAAAAGTCTGTTCCTTTGATCCAAGCTAGCCATTATACACCTGCAAATGTGAGAGGACCTGGGAAAAGGGCCAAGGATTAAATCCAAAGGACAGGGACAGGAGGCTGCCTCTGACCACATCCCACTCAAACTTGGTGTTAGGGAGAAAATTCAATTTTATTTGTGTATGTACCTCCTAAACCCTAAGGCATTTATTATGGGTGGAAAGAAAGCTATTTAAACCTACCTGGCTATTGACCTTCTTTGGTCAATGGCCAGGTCCTGAAGCAAGAAGGTCCTGAGTTCAGTTCCACTACCAGGCCTGGTGTGTAGTACAGTGTTCCTGGTGTTCTGTGTGTAGTTGCATGTTCTCCCTGTGTTTGTGTGGGTTCTCTGTGGGTATTCTGGTTTCCTTCCACATTCCAAAGAAATTCAGTAAATGGGGATAGGTTAATTGGTAACTCTAAATTGCCTAAATGTGAGTGTGAATGGTTGTCGGTGACCTGTCCAGGGTGTACGCTGCCTCTTGCCCTAAGACAGCTGGGATAGGCTCCAACCCTCCCGTGAACCTAATAAGGATAAGCGGATGAGAATGGAATGGATGGACAGCCACATTATAGGTTTGTGAACATGGATGGCCTTTTTCAAGGTTATGCCAAGTATCTCAATCTGATTTAAGTCTGAACTCTGATGAGGTCACTCCAAAACTTTAATCTTTTTATTGATTTTTTTTTTTCATTCAGAGGTGTTTCATACCATTTTCCTGTTGAATAACCTAAGTGAGCTTGACCTTCAGGAAATGAACTATAATTGTTTTTTTAAATAAAATGTTGTTGGTTTTATGCCAGATGTAGCAGGATTCAAACCTTCCAAAAATTTAAACTTTTGCCTCGTCAGTCCACAGAATATTTTTCCCAAGTCTGGGGGATCATGTTTTTTTGTTTGTTTGTTTGTTTGTTTGTTTGTTGAAATTTCAGTAATGTCTTTGTGTTCAGATTGGTCAGCAGTGGTTTTCTCCTTGTAATTCTCCCATGCATGTCATTTCTCCCCAGTGTCTTTCTTTTTTTCGAATCATGAACACTGACCTTAAGTGAAACTAAGGCCTGCAGTTCTGAACCAAAGAATGATGTTCTGGGTGATAAAAGTTCTAGTTTACATAATTATAAAGCATATAGGTGGTACCCCATCATATATTTTACAGTTGTGTCCCAAGGGGCAACCTTTGGGGCTCAATATGAATCCAAAGCAGAAAGACCAAAACCTGCAGTACCTCTAAGGGCCACTTGAAACCTACTCTAGAGCTACGTCAGTCCATTTAGACTTCCACATTAAAGGGGACAAATGTGAAATATTATTCCACAGATGTGTTTACAGAGGGCATGCACAACAGAGTAAATTTAATAGAGAAGCTTCTATTTGAAGAAGGTAATGACTTGGCTTCTAGCTGGAGATGACGTGAGCTACAGAGGTCTTTCTCTACCAGAAGAGTTAATATAACTTCTCTCCTTCAACTTTTACAATCTCATTAGAAATAATGACTAAGTGTGTGTGTGTGTGTGTGTGTGTGTGTGTGTGTGTGTGTGTGTGTGTGTGTGTGTGTGTGTGTGTGTGTGTTTTCTAGATGAAAAAGCTGTTTCCTTAGAGATGGTGCCCTCCAGGAGGCGATGACACGGCAGCATGTCAATGAAAAACTGAGTGGCAGCATGTTGCTCTGGTTAATTTGATTGGGCCCTGGATACAGGCCAATATGGTGGTTCCATATGGTGTACAGACTTCAAAACCAATTTGATATCTAATCAAATCAAGACTAAAATGGAAGATAATGATTT